TGTTTTGGCTGTGTTTCGAAAAAGGTGTCTGGCTGCTGGTTTCTGGCTTTATTAGAGGCAGCAGCAGCAGTCAAAATTGGAGATCAAAATTGGACAAAATTGGCTTTCTAGTAGGGTTTCAGAAGGGACGTTTCGGCCCCCGGGGAACCGGTTATTGCGACTGATTTTGCGTCATTTTCGGCACGAAATTAGGTGGTGTTTTGCTGTTTCGGCTGTGTTTCGAAAAAGGTGTCTGGCTGCTGGTTTCTGGCTTTATTAGAGGCAGCAGCAGCAGTCAAAATTGGAGATCAAAATTGGACAAAATTGGCTTTCTAGTGGGATTTCAGAAGGGACGTTTCGGCCTCCGGGGAACCGGTTATTGCGACTGATTTTGCGTCATTTTCGGCACGAAATTAGGTGGTCTGGTGTTTTGCTGTTTCGGCTGTGTTTCGAAAAAGGTGTCTGGCTGCTGGTTTCTGGCTTTATTAGAGGCAGCAGCAGCAGTCAAAATTGGAGATCAAAATTGGACAAAATTGGCTTTCTAGTAGGATTTCAGAAGGGACGTTTCGGCCTCCGGGGAACCGGTTATTGCGACTGATTTTGCGTCATTTTCGGCACGAAATTAGGTGGTGTTTTGCTGTTTTGGCTGTGTTTCGAAAAAGGTGTCTGGCTGCTGGTTTCTGGCTTTAGTAGAGGCAGCAGCAGCAGTCAAAATTGGAGATCAAAATTGGACAAAATTGGCTTTCTAGTAGGGTTTCAGAAGGGACGTTTCGGCCTCCGGGGAACCGGTTATTGCGACTGATTTTGCGTCATTTTCGGCATGAAATTAGGTGGTGTTTTGCTGTTTCGGCTGTGTTTCGAAAAAGGTGTCTGGCTGCTGGTTTCTGGCTTTATTAGAGGCAGCAGCAGCAGTCAAAATTGGAGATCAAAATTGGACAAAATTGGCTTTCTAGTAGGGTTTCAGAAGGGACGTTTCGGCCTCCGGGGAACCGGTTATTGCGACTGATTTTGCGTAATTTTCAGCACGAAATTAGGTGGTGTTTTGCTGTTTCGGCTGTGTTTCGAAAAAGGTGTCTGGCTGCTGGTTTCTGGCTTTATTAGAGGCAGCAGCAGCAGTCAAAATTGGAGATCAAAATTGGACAAAATTGGATTTCTAGTAGGGTTTCAGAAGGGACACCACCATCACTACCACCACCACCAGCAGCAGCAAAAGCGGTATTGGACACAGTGCAGGAACATAACGAACACCGTTAGGCTTGCTTCTTTCAAGTGCCATGCGCCATTGCTTCACCATGATGAGGAATATGCTAAGCAACAAACCGAAAAACACACGATGAATCTCAATGGATCGTCCCACAAAGACACTCTCACAACTCACAATACCTGGATTAAGTCCTCTCCAAAACATCTATCACCTCCATTGCTATGCGCTTCTACACCTTTAGCGGCCGCGCCAGACCGAGCCCAAGCTTATTGGTTGGACAACGCTGCTTAGCAGGCAAGATTCCAACTTAAAGGCATTCAGTCGTAATCCAACAGATCATCTTCCTGGTATTAGCTTATGAGCTAGCCACATAAACCAAGCATCTGAACGAAATCTTCCTCCCGTACTAATTTCGATTATAACTGTCGCAGAATCAAGTTAAGATAACACTAACCTGTCGCACGCAATCTAAATCCAGCTCACGTTCCCTTTTGGCGGTGAACAATCTGGATACCCGGGGTCGGCGGCAGGGGCGGCAGCCCTTAAATAACTATAGTCACAACCATCTATCACCATATATCAGCTTGTATCACCTTGTATCCCCCGTGCATTTCATGCCCTCATCCAAACTCAGCTCCCACCCTCCCTGTGTCCGACCCTTCAGCTCGAAGGCCGGGCGAAAGTCCATGGTCAGTTTGATCCCAGCAGCAATGCCACGCCTCGGATCTCGAAGATCGAAGATCCTGTGAGTTGCTTTCTTGGATTTTCTTGGATTTTCTTGGATTTTCTTGGATTTTCTTGGCATCTTGGCATCCTGTGGAAGAGCATCTTCGTCAAATTCAAATTGGGGAGCATCAGGAAGTTTCAAGCGCAAAGACTTTGCATGACTTTGTGTTGTGCGGACCCAGTACTTTAAACATCTTTAAACACTACCAACTCAAAACACGCCTGCTTCTCTACGGTTGGCTTGCTTTTTGAAGCTGCAAAGCACATTGCAAAGCCAGCGTTGCACACAAGCAGCTGATCTGTGGTGACGATCAATGTGATTTAATATAATTTATATCCATAAGTTGTATCCATCCAGTTCATTTACCCACTTAATATTCATCAATACAAGATAATACAAGTAGGTACAAGTAGTATCCATTGATGCATCATCCGTCATCATCCTATCCTTGCTATGGGTATTTCATGGTATTTCGGTATTGCCTCCTGTGGCTCCATCTGAGTCCCCGAACGCTGGATACATCTTGGACATGAAGAAACCCTTGTAGGTACCTGGACCGCTTGGAACTAGTACATTGGTACATCGAAAAATATCGAAAACACCTTCCAACATGTTCAATGCACCATGCGCTTCCCATCATGAGCCACAACGCAACAAAAAGCGGGTATCCCCAGGCTAAGTAATGTCCAGACTGTCCAGACTTCTCAAGGCATTTCGACAGCCTGCAGATCTTGCAGCGAAGGTGCAATACTTCAATTTCCTCTCCAGCTGTTCCAAGGTGGTCTTCCCCAGTCGACGAGGCACCTAGGCCCAGCTAAGCGACATGCTTTCCAGCTTTGGATCATGCGCTGGGAGACCTCAACTTTGGTCCAGTGGAAAGCTCCAACAGTCCCGCAAGACCCTACATTTGAAGTCCAGAATTTCTTTGGAAAGTCACAACTTGAATCCTCGAAGTGATTTGACTGGGATCTGGCAGGACAGGATTCGGACGACAAACGGAGACGCTCTGCATTTTTCAGCATGAACCCAACGCATGACAACGCATATAATACCATTTGGGGATTCCTGGGGTCCCCGTTCAATTTCCATACCTGCCATAGCCTCATTTTGTTGTCCAATAAAAGTTTCCTCTTGTCCCTCTGGGTACTCCAACGGAATCGTTGATGTCATCCAAGGTCAAACCACCTGGTTCCCATTCAGAGAGCATCCAGTTTCTCACGGCGTGCAGGTGGCAAACACCAACTACCCAGCTGCAGACATCATCTTGAAAGAGAAACATGACTTCTGAGATTCTTCAGACAGTCAACTTCCTACATCTACAACTAGAATCAACTGCAAACATCTCACGCACTGCCAGGATACGAGTGTAAAAGGGGTCGCTGTTGTGGATGTACTCGTCAATGATTTTGCCTTGGAGAAATCCCTAGTGAGTTGAGCACCAGAAAGAAACTTAAAAGGCAAACAGCATCAAACCAACCGCGTTAAACTTGTGAAAGGACCTACAATGGCAGCCTTAGAAGTCAATATCCAACGGTATTCAAACATGAGAATTGGCATAGTGTGTGGGGATGCATTAATCCATTGTCCAGCCGGCTCCAGGATCAAACTGCATGAAGTACCAGAAGAAAGGAAGAATCGAAGCAGATCTTAAATCACTCAGAATATTACAGAATAAGATGCCTAAAACCCATTGTTTTCCGTCCGCGACTCCTTCCAAACAATCTTCATGAACCCATTTTGTAATTTTTGTATATACTATATGTGTATAGACTATTATAGACTTATGGTATCTTATGGTGACATGATCCTCAAGGCATCTTGGAACCCTACTGCTATGAAATATTATGGAATGTATCAGCAAAGCCGCAGTTTCCACTTCACCACCTTCGTCGCAATAGTTTTCTGGTATAAATCAGCACATCACCGCTACGGATATCCGAGGTACACAGCAAATCATATCGCAGGATATTTCCAGTTTCTTCCGAGATGAGCAAATGAAAGAACCTCGGTGCTGCAGTTGCGGCCTACAATTTCTGCTGCGCCATGCTTCACGCACCAAGGTTGTTTCCACACTCACCCACAAACACGTTGTGGTCATGAAAATCATATTCGAATGTATAATCAGCATTTAACGGAATATGTATATACACGACATATATATATATAATATGAAGCCCTATAGTAACCAATCAAAAATTGGTGTCTTAATCCTGATGGACGCAGTTTTTCTCAGTTCCCGGCGTATTCATGATCTCGGGACAGTGCATGACCTGCTCTGCAACAGCCTGCGAAGTAGGAAGCGGCCGTTGCAACTCATTGGTACATGGGATTGTTGGCACTTTCCCATTGAGGGGTACTGTATAATATGTGTGTATATACTGTGTATATATATATACTGTGTATATATATTATATGTTATACATATATATATAGTTTATATATATATGTTATATATATATATGTTATATATATATAATGGGAATTTTCTCAATATGATGGGGACAGACGGGATAGATCACCAACTATGATTTTTGGGTGTGTCTGACAATGGTGGATTTCGCCCCTAAATGCTCAGTGGGGAAATGAGGATTAACCAGTGATGGGGTACCCAATTTCAAACCCACATGAACAATGCCAAGATTACTAAACCCACAACGCCAAAATCAACAGTAAGTACTGCAATGTACAGTACTGCATGTCTGATTTTTTTCCATTACGATCATTACGACTCGTGCTATGCTGCCATGATCTGCCATGACATCATCTTAAGTCATCCCACACCTGCAAGGTGTAGAACAAGAGCGTCTCTTGGAACATGACCACCACATCCTTCCGCGCATCACGCCTTGGCGTCAAGGGAGTGGTACTGGGTCTTTCCCTCATGAAGAGCCAAGAAATCGTTGCACTTGCTACGAACTGTGGACCATCCTCATCATATCTCATCATGCTCACGCCATCTCACGCCCATCTTAGGAATCTTTGTCCTCCTGATCCTTCTCGTTTTGGTGTCTGTTTGATCTGTTTGCGTATGACCCAACTGCCCCAACTGCGCTTGGATTCCCACGGCTGACCTACCTTGGCCACAGGCAACCCGCTGCAAGGGCCCCATCATTTGAATACTGAAAGTGGGTGAAAATGGAATGTAGACCATGTAGACCATCTAAACCATGTAGACATCTACAGGATCGAAAAGAGTGGAAGATTCTTCGCACCGATCCTCCATTGTCAACGTGAAGGTTTGCGGTGTTTAAATTGGTTGATTGACTGTTGATCGGTCCCATCGTTTCGTTTCACCATACCAAAATTGACCTTGCACCCACCGTTCTTTTGGCAAGCTCGAACGGAGTACTAGACCATTGTGATTTCAAATCCCACAAAAATGAATGGATTATTGAATAAGTATTATTGATGAGTATCATAATTATTATCCATGATTCTTCAAACTTATTTCAATCATGTTCAATCCACATGCTGAGTTCTGTTCGGCCATCCCTAAGTCCCCCATGACCACACTCGCAGTTCTGTTCGGCCATCCCTACAAGTATGTGGCCAAGGTGCCCAAAGGTGATAGCTTTCCAGCGCACGACGCCACACGTTGGTTACAGCAACATAGAAGGTGTCCTGCCAGGTGTCATTGTGATAAGATTATATATATATATATAGTCATATATATATAATCATATATACACGTATATATATATATACACACACGCAGTATAAATCACCCATAATAATAATTATATAATCACCTTTCAAATCACCATGTGTGGTTGAGGATTCATTCTGATGGTTGAGGAGCTTGGTTGACTCTTGGTACATGTGAAGACTGTTGATACTGTTGGTTCCCGGTTTGCATGCTTTTTGCGGAGCAAGGTGGGGCCAGTGACTCCTCTTGCCACTGGTTCCAACGCAGCGCCAAGCACCTGCTGAAAGAACAAAGGCCACCAGCGGCATCCAAGGACAGGAGGGTGTCATTCGATCTGCTTGGAAAGAAATCCAACGAAATAGGTAGGTGGAAGATGGTGGATGAGCAAAAGATGCTGCTACGACATCAATATGCAATGTAGTGTAATTGACCATTCGCTGTGCAAAGTATTTGAATATATTTGAATTGCATAAGACCTTGTCTGTCAACCACGGCTATCCCAACAAATTATATGCTGACCTTCTTCATGGGTTCAACTAGTCTTGCACACGACGTTCAGGAGCCGCGAATGTCGGTTCTCCGTGCCCCTTCCGTGCCAAACATGCTGCCTCTCTTCCGCCAAGACATGATTTTCCAGCAAGCGTTGTTGCACCTGATTGAAACAGGGCGTTGTGTGCATTATATTCCCCCCAGCTAAAGTGTAGTGAACATTAGTGAACTAGACGAGGCAGAGACCTTCACCCAAGCTGACATCCAATGATTGCCTTCACTGTCCAGCAGGGACTGAGACCGCGCACACCCCAGGCGTTGCGCACCAACTGCGGAATCACCTGCTTTTGGTGGCACCGGAAAAATCGACCCACTTTGGAACTTGGCATCTCGTTCTTCATGGTGATTGGGAAAAGGCACAAACCATCCTCTCAATTGCAACTTCTTTCTGTTCGAGTCCAGATTCTCACAAACACGATTGAAGGATCTATTCGATACATACTCTGCTGAACAAAACATGAGGCACCATTTCAACCCACAGTTTCCCTATTGTTTTTGGTGGTCATATCCAACTTTAAGCTTGTGACTTACTTGGATATATACTTGCAGATCTTGCAGGTTGTTAGTCCATCTTCATTTTCGGTTCAAACTCCTGTTCTTCTGCGCCTCGCAGTGTTGAGACTTGCACTTCACTGTAATGGTCACAGCCTTCCAAGTGGGCACGGACGCGGCATGAATCCATCTATACCTGTCTATACCTGTCAAAACGGAATACTGGCCATTGGGGAATATTTGCGATATTACGTTAATATGTATTGCATGCAATATTCGACCCATTAGAATACTGATGTCGTATCGTCTAATCAAAAACCTGTACACTAAATGAACACCTGTAAAATGAACTCACATGATCTGTCCTGCAATCACAACATCATTACATCAGCATCATCGGTGGATATGTTTAAACTTGATCGACACATCAGAACCGCAGAATCAGGTCACCCTGGCTGTAACCACACATGGCTACAAATGAGCAGTTCAATGCTTCACTTTGAACATCTCATTCTGATTCAAGTTACATATTGGATTTGTTCTGCTAATAATTGTGGATCTAGTACACTTCAACTTGCCGTAGAAAATAGAAACAAAGGAAAGGCACATGCAGGACCAACATAAAACTAATCACCATGGCCATCAGCGACCAGGTCCCAGGGAAGACACCTCACTATTGGTATTCATTCGACGTCGTGGGTCATTCGCAAAGGCACGAAGCCTCCACAGCGCCAAGTGGGGATTGCTGGGGATTGCTGGGGTGCTGGGAGCAAGGGGAATGAACAGATTCAGAAGAGGGGATATCATTTGTCAGTAGAATATCATAGAATTACTTCTTGGCCTTGAATCTTGATCCTATCCAATCTTATCGATACTGTTCGATAACATAATAGATTTAAGTCTGTAGAATCCAAGACATAGAAAATCATAAGAACAGTGATTCTTCCTCTATCATTTTACAGATGGGAAGAACCCTCTGACATCCTCTGACAAACGAAGCTTTGACAAATTGGGCACCGGATGGCACCGAATGGCACCGGGCACCGGGTATGGTCTCATATGGTCTCTACATGTCTCTACAGCCACTGAGGTCGTCTGAGGCTCGTTCTCCAATGGTATGACCATCTCGTTGCTTTCTCCAGGGGCAGAAAGCCCAGAATGCCCCTGGCACCACAACCACCACAGCTGAGTCATGGGGCCATGATGGCCATGGGAAGTCATCAAAGCGTGTAAGACGTGTATAGTAACTACCATTTTATACCCTCTGGCTGATCTGTTTGTTTTAAAGGATTTGTCAAGTCTTTTTTCCTCCATCCTTGGCAACAATTCGATCAATTCGATCATTTTCGATCTAATTTGGGCACATCAAAGGATATTCCCAGGTGTAAGGAATGACCGCCCCTTTTGCCTTGGGTATTCGCGGCCGATGCCGTCGCAATGCAGCACTGCGGCCCATACCCAGCTGGTTATCCTGTGCGGAGCAGTGAGGTCTACCCCAAAGTTGCCATATAAATGGGAGAAAAATCAACACATGATTTGAACATGAAAAAAATGATCCACTGAAACTGGAGGGTACCCCCTTTTCAGACAAACCCATGGTGCGAAGGTTCACTGTCATTTCCTTTCTACCATGACGAGTTTCTGAAGAAGCACCATCCTTGAGGTGGGGGTTCTTTCAATCCCAACAGACTATCCGAACCATTTCAGGTGTTGGATCAAGTAGGAACAGGAATTAAAAGGTCTGTTGGACGTGTCCGGCAAAATGCTGCAGCAGGAGTTTGCAAGTAGGTGGGGTATAGCGGAAGTCTTATGCACTCTCCTTTGCCATTCTTTCCGCGAATCACTTGCAAACATTCTTGAAAGCTTGATGCTCAAGAGGCTCAAGTGTTCGCTGAAAACACACCTGGACTCACACTTTCACACGAAGCGGGGGGTGGGAATGAAGTCCAAAAGACAATGCCGACACGGGATATCACTAGAATTCACTAGATATGATCATTGGCATCATATGCACGGTGGTCACCAATGGTCGTCACCAATGGTCGCCTCGACTTGAAAGTTGACTGGGCTTCCTGGGCTTCCCAGCAAAGTAGGCCATGGCCTTGGGAATGGTGAGACGCCCAGCGGAGAGCGCCGCTCGGCGCGTCTGACGCGTCACCTGGCGTGACGTGACTGGGACGGGAGACATCCTGCACTGATTCCGGTTAAACCTCCCAGAGAAGTCAAAGAGTTTGATGTTTTTGATCATGTTTGATCATGTTTGATCTTGATCATCATAATTGATCTTAAAAATATCTTAAATCTGCTAGATCCAACCAGGCTCTCAAATCTCTCAAGAGACTTGCAGTACGTCCATCATGGCTGAAGCCATTCCGGCCTTGAAGAGGCCAAAGGTCAACAGAATCACCGCCATGCTGCCCAACCACACAAACCTCATGTCACATGATGGCGTCAGGAATGTGAATAGCTAGTTTCCAAATGTTTCCAAATGTTTCCAAATAGTTCAAACATAGTGTCAGATGGTGACAGTTCATTGCAACCATAAAGTGTTTTTGGGGCTCAAGAAATAGGTATATCGTCAAACATGTTTACGATCATGGATTTAATGAACTTTCAAGGGCCTGGGGTCCTTTCATTTTTTTGTGTGGAACTCCTTCTTGCTGAATATCCAGAGTGCGAAGATTTCCTAAACTTCTGCCGACATGGAGTGCAGAGTCAGATGTTCTTTTTTGCCGGCTACTCTTGAAATGGATAGGTGTGAAAAACGCTAAATTAAAAAACAATGAATCACCAATAGTTTGTGAAGACAATACCTTATAATATATATATATATATATCCGCATGAACTGTTTTGGGGTTTCATCTTCAAGCAGCCAATGGGTAGATCAAAACTTTTTGGGCAGCCACCTCCCAGCCCTGTGTTCACTCCAGCCCTGTGTTCACTGGGATAAATGAAGTGCCAAGTAACAGTGATGGCAGGCTGCCGCTGGTGTTGTAGATCTGAGTGAGCGCAATGTGATGAGTTGGTCTGTGACGTTTCTAGGCTGGACTTGAAATTGGACTCGACAAATTAATGAGTTGTGCAGTTGTGCATCTTTGATAGGAACAGCAGGTGCGCAACAATTGGATCTGGTTCAACCAGCATCCAACTGCCTAGCGTCAGCTGCTTTTGGACTTCAGCAACGGAGCTACTTCGTCAGCTGGAGCTACTGTAATGGGACAGCACACTTTGGAGCCAACAAGAACCATCCTGGCCATCCTGGATTCTGGATCGGTTGCCTCAGGTCATGCGATGGCACTGAGCTGCGAACGTGCAAATGGCTAGGCAGCACCTGAGCGTCCGCGCTGGGAACCGCCCAATGGGATCAGATTCAGATGGGATCAGTGACAAGCGACCAGCATCTCGCCAAGGTGCACAGTAGCACGGTGGCACCGCCTTACTGGGCTCTTCGGGCCAGTAGAAATGAAAGCCGCCTGTGATCCGAAGCAAGTGCTGAAAACGATTTCGATTCTGATGCAGAATAAGGAGTTCACTGAGTTCACTGTTTCAGTTTCAAAAGCGATTTGGACCTCACCAAACTTCAACGGTCACTGATCTGAACACATGAGCACGGGCGGCATGGCATGGGTCAAGATTTCTCTCTCCAAAAATGTGGAGTGGATGCTGACAGTAGCACTTCCATTACGGTCCCCTCTGCCTATTGTAAACCGTGCTGAGAAGGGCAGGCCTTGGCTGCCATTTGTAGACCGTGCTGAGAAGGGCAGGCCTTGGCTGCCATGGCACCGAGATACAAATGAGCGATGTCACTTGTAGGGATGTCTTGCAAACGTGTTCGGGACATATAGGTAATATAGGGATCTGAACTCAAAGGTGTGAGTGAGACGAACTGATCTTTTCCACACACACTGTTTTGGCTAGCACAAACACCATCATTGAATCTGTCCTCGAGGCAAAATTGCATCTTCATGCCCAGAATTGGCCGAAGGGAAAATCTACAGATCGCCATCATTTTTACCATTGGATCTCGGAGGTTTCCTGTCAGTTTTCCTGTGACCCAATCCATTCCAGGAGATTCCAGGTCTTTTTGTCAAGGTGAATCTTGGGAAGATCATCTGCCTTTTTTCCACCCATCTTTTGACATCCCAATAGTACACTTTGTGGTGACATCCTGTCCGGCCAATCTCAGGTCGCGGCAAAAACTGAATTCTAAAGCTTGGATCACCTGCTCGACATGATGATCGGTATGATAATATCGATATCCTATGACTTTGGTAACTATATTCAATATGAAAGGACAATGATGCATGATATCCTATACGGATGTTGTGTATATATTAGTAATTGTTAGTATTATATATATATATAATTCTATATATATTTATACATATCTGTGTGTGTGCGTATCTCTTATATGTATATATATATGATATATATATATATGTGTGTGATACATATGTATATATATATGATATATATATATATATGATATATATATATGATATATATATGATATATATATATGATATATATATATATGATATATATATATATATATGATATATATATATAAATACATATAATATTAATATACGATAAATAATTGCTGGATAGCTTCCAACATGCCTTTCCTCAGCTCCAACTCCGCCTTTGGATCATCCCAGCGCGGACGCACGCAGCTATGGAGGAACCTGTCAGTGCCGACATTGTGTTCTTCTGCTATAGATTGATGGATTATGATGGATCCGATGAGAGAAAAAAAGGATCCGAAATAATACTAATCTACTGCTAAATCTATATATATCTATATATATATCATAATGTAATACTATATAATACTAATATATCTAAATCATACTAATATACAAATATCTCATAATAATCATAATGTATCTAAATATACTAATTATATTAAATCTAATTAATCTACTACAACAAAAATCATTCAGCATTGAAGGGTAGGTGTTTATGGCCTGGGGCCACCCAAGATCCAACAGCGCACCCGGCCCTGCACCCGTGGCGCACCAGTTGGTGTGAGATACAAGGCCTAGAAATTCATCAGGGACCACCTCAGCTTGATGCTTCTACGGCTGCATACAATTATTATGACTAATACTGTGTATATATATACGTATATATAATTATATGCTATAATATGACATGAAATTATATGACATTATATGTACAACATGATATGCCTGATATAAAATGATAAGTATGAATAAGTATGATGCATCCTTACAATTCTTCTGGACATGGTGGTTGTGATGTGCTGGGGCCATCAGTCATGATGATGGCAATCACAACAATGATGATCTTGGCGATAATCACAAGGGTCAGAATAGCAAATTTTCAATGAAAACTGTCATAAACATTCATAAACTATCCTATAGTCTTGGAGGTCGTAATTCCCAACATACCTACTAACAGTCATCGATCATTTGTATGTTCTCGAAGGACTCCCTGCCTGTGCCTGAACACATTTGAACACCATGATCAGATATGATCAGCCTCTATTCAACGCATTTCAACACTGGATCTGGAGGGTATCCGAATCACATCGAATCACCAGCCGGGAATTCGCACATCCGTTTCTTTCAGCAAGCCTGAAGGCCTCGGGACGAGATCCGACTGGAAGATCATGGAAGATCTACAGGTCGAAGTTCCGTCGCAAGAGCGGATCAACATGGATCAACCATATGCAATGAGGATCTTGATGGCTTTGTAGACCTTTGTAGTGGGAGTCTGCAGCTCTATACGACCAACTGTTTTACCAAACAATCTGATGTGGTCACACTGGTCACCCAAGGTTTCCAGCCTGTCACAGCTTGTCACAGCAGTACTGTGGTCACAACTCTCCACAGAAGGTCTGCATGATGTCGCTGTCACCATTGGTCTGTGGCGACACGTGCCAGATTCAACTTGCTTGAAAGTGACATCTCAGCTTTTACTTCAAACCCTCATGGCCAAGATACACATGTGGCCTGCCAACGCATGTTTTTGCCAAGCTTTGAATGGCTATGATTCTGTCATATTCAAGGTGGGGATTCCTGCATATATAAATACTATCAAGTATGAGTCGACTTGGACTATGAATATCTCTCCCAAGGCCGCCTGACACTCTTTGGAGGTACTGCGACCCCAATCGTCGGCAAACTCATCGACAATCTGAGTGCATGCAGAGTGACCACAGATTGGTGACACATTCACTATAGATATGTCATTGATATATATATATATAATATATATATATACACGTATATAATCGTATCTATGCTATCATATATATATATACGTATATATATATATATATTACAGTGCTATAGATATATCTAGGCATGGCAATCGTGTTTACAAAGGTTCATGATGTTCATGATGTTCATTGCTTTAGCCCATGCTTGCAACATGTCAGAACATGTCAGAACCCAGGCCGCCACACCAAGCTGCCGCAGCCCATGCGTTGCGTTCTATTCCAGGCGTAGACCAACATCTCCTGCCGCGAGGGCATCGGGCGTGGCATCGGCCCAAGGGCCATGGCCAGGGCTGCGGTCCTGCTGCACGTCTGGCACCAAGTTGGGCCTTGGGACATGGGAACTGTTGGGTACACCTTGGGTGTGGAGACCTCACTCCATTTGGGGATATTTTAAGATGTTTAAGAGAAGAACCTCTAGATTCCAGCTTTCAAATCCCAACCACATCCCACATTGCCCAAAAGGTGGTAGATGGTGACAGACGATCTTCAATACACAGCATCTCGCAGTGAGCCCCCGGCTTGCGATCCCGTCGCACCGCAGCTGCCACGCCAATCTGCGGGATCATGGGCTTCAGGACCTCACATGGAAGCAATCGGGACCACCCAATGGATTTCAATGGAGTTTTTTTTTTGGACCAATCAACTGAAAACATATGAAATAAATTGAAATACTGAATGGAAGCCCATTGGAATGGGATTAATGACTAGATCATGCCCCTCAACAGGGAAGCATTGAGTGGTCCTGGAAGTGCACTGATACAGTAATTTCATGCGCCCAGGGCTCCCCGCCGTATGGGTCTTGTTGAGGCCCTCCATGGCTGTGAGCACCTCCTGTGCATCTGGGGCACCAGCATGTTGCATGTCGGGTCATCAAGCATGGCCACGGGAAATCCACATATGTTCTCTGGCGACTCATTCAAAAAGTGTGAATAATTATAGAGAGACGTGCCCATTATGGCCAATTGGCAGGATAAAAATTCATGCGGGGTACAGTTGCGAAAATGGCATCAAATTCTGGGATGGCAATATCAGGCAATCCAAATCAATCCAAGCATCTCACCCCACTGCCACCCTAGGGCCCTAGGGCCCCTGGCGCTAACGGCATTCTTCACTGGAGGCAGTTTCACCTGGACATGTGGGGATGAGCGTAGCTGGGCGTACCAAATCATCCCATGCACTGGTGAGCGCATGCTTCTCCAAGTTCCTCTGTGCAAACTTCACCAAAGCGGCTATGCAATCTTGCAGGGAACCCTAGCAAATAGCCACATCCTAGTGAAAAACTTGGATCTGAAACATTCTGGGATATCATGGGAAATCTAAATAACCAGTTTAAACCAGCGACCCAAGACACTAAGCAACAAGACCCGCTGCAGAATCATGGCATGAAACGGCCTGGTGTTTTATGGCCTCGCCTCCAAGATCCACATGTCAAAGAGATCTCCTTCGAAGTCAGTTCGTTCGAATGACTTCAACATATCTTCTAACCTCGGCTCAAAGCTGTCTCCCGAAATACATCAAAACATGGTTCAGGTGATTTCAGGTACATTCAGCATTTATTTTAACCATTTTCAACCTACGCGTCTGGGTACTGTGCAGCACTGCCGTTGCATTTTGGACATGAGGAATGGCACCCCGCATGAGGTTTTGAGGCTTTGGCTGTTTGTCTTAAAACATTCTAAAAACATTCTAAAAACCTTGCCTTCGGAATCATAATTAGTAAAGCTATGCCTGTCAAACACCGGAAAAGCTGTGAAAAACATTATCCACATTTCCCCCTGCAGCTTCCTGGGCACTCGTTTACTCGGCGCTAGGCTCACAGCTCTGAAACAGCAAAGATTCGTCACTTTTCAAAACCATGTAGCCTTTGTTAAAGCTACTCCTGCGAACTTGTTTTAAGTCACATGAATCCCAGGAAACCCAGGAAACCCTGGAAACCCAAATGATTCATGTGAATCTTTAGGAGTCTACGTTGGGTTGGACCGACTCGTCTTAAATTTTGAGTCAGACCAGGCTACGAAACTTATGTACACTTGCTGACTTTGGCTTGTTCATCTTACATTCAAAATAAAACTGCAAACTTTTTGTGATCAACGGACCCAGTCATTGGCTGATCGACTTCTCGGATTTCTCCTTCTCCGACTTCTCCTGAGCCCACCATAAAACATCTCTAGGTTTTGTACAGGGCATTTCTTCGGTTTCACGCGCTTTCACCATAGTTCAGTCATGTTCAGTCTAGGTGTGTCTAAAAATTGGGTATACCACCCCAAAAAGATAGCCATGTGTACAATGGGGAAGATGCAGCTGAAATCCATTGAGTTTTCGGGTCTGCCTAGGCCCCAAATGTTCAAACAACCATGCTGCAACAGGCTGCAACTGATGCTGAAATACCAGTCTGTGTGGTTGCGCGTGTTCGGTGGCAAATCAATCCCTTGCCGTATTGCTGCACAAGAATCTCTCTGTGAGACAAACCAGAGTCCTTAGATAATCGAAGCAGCAAGAAGAAAAAAGAAAGATTGGATTTGCTCAATTGGAGTAGATTGGATTGGATTAGGTGAGATCAGCCAAGAGGCTGAGAGTAAGTCAAATCAGCTTAGATTCATTTAGATTCAATCGATTAATGTGGTTTATAAACCATCCAATTTACCATTTGGGGGTCATTTTACATCATCCCAGGTGCTGTATACCCAACAAATCCCAACAATAAACCTCTATAGGGGATGGTTTATTTTTGGGTTTACCAAATGGTCGTTGTATTAGATTACAAGCTGTAGCGGCACTTCACCTGGATGCCAATCTCGTCTTAGATCCCTCACCTCACGATCCCATGGTCTTGCCTAACAGGCCACAACTTGGATATCCCCACATTTACCGACACACCCAAATCAGATCATTGGTGTTCATTATATTATATGTGTAATATATGTGTATCATTTATCAGTATATTCCAAGTTGCATAAATTTTAGTTGGTTCGATACCCGATGTTGACAACATGATGTTCAACCCCCATGAAACCCCCAGCCGGTCCTTGCTGGCCACAAGGGCCGCAAACCGAGACTCGGTCGAAGGCATCCACTGCTGCCCAGTGCTTGATCTCCTCGCCGATGCGCGGATTCCGGCAACCTGAAATGACAGCCGTCGAGAACATAGGAGATGTAGCACTCCAATTTATAGCAACTTACCAGGATTTATGATATGGATTTATAGTGATTTATACATATTTATACTACCGTAAAATTGATGGGAAGTTTTGGCAATTGGCAATGCTGAATTTTTGGGGTACCCAATGTTTCACACAAACCCACAAGTTGCACCAGAACCAGGTCTGAATGCTCCTAGGATCTTTTCTTTGAACACTTTTACTGTACTCATTGGAACTTGAAGGAAAACATGGGAATACGGAATATACTCAAAAGAGCCATACACAAAACAGAAAGTTCTGAAAAGTGCAAATGTTGCTGGCAGTGCTATTGCAGCTCAGTGGCATTTCCAAGAGATTGTAGCATCCAGTGCGAAATGTATCGACAGTACACGGCATCTCTCCTTGCGAAAACAAGTGTGGGATGCACCAAGTTGCAGCGACGAGATTGAAGAAATGTGGCTCAAGTCATTCCCCCTCAGACCTACCCTGAGCTTCCTTGACCATCAAATGCATGCGCTGTAGCGAAAAGGAGAGTTTTTGTTTTGGGAGGCATGTGATTTTTGATCTAGTGATACATTGGCCTCTCTCGGATGGAACATTTTAGGTGTCCTTTTGAAGTTGCGTTGGATTCTAGTCCCCAGAGAAAGTCTGGAATAAGCGTTACAGAACGTAGAAAGGAGGCTCGTTGCTGTGGAAATGAACATTATTTTAGATGGATTTCGGGGTTCCAGGCTATGGGTCCATGTCCCAAAATAAATCACCAGGATAAAAACATATTCCCCATAAGAACCTGAGATGCAAAATAAGTCAAAATGCAACAATGCCAACCTTTTTTTTGCAACGCACATAATTATATATATGTGCTTTGGACTTGTTAGGCCTAGCTTGAACTACCCTCTGGTTATTTAACATAGCCACGGAAAATGGCCCATTTACAGATGATTTTCCCATTAAAACCTCCATTTATAAGGGATTTTCCATGGCTATGTTAAATAACCAGAGGGTAATTATTGAAGACCACTGTTGGAAACTTGCTTCGCTCTGAGGTCACGTGACCCGCTACTTTCTTCGAAACCACCTGGTCCAAACCAAGTTTCCGCCAGAAAGAGACGGGTCCGGTCCGCAAATCCAGCGCTGTAACTCTCTGACAGTACACCAACTAGAATGTTCAAAAGCACAATCCTCAGTGACATACTGATCATGCTTTTGACAACGACACTGTAGCGCGGAGCACTTTCTATACCGATGGTGGAAACTACTGTAGACGAAAGAAACCCTGGACAAGCCTGATATCACCAATTGATTCAGCCAGATCAGCCCAGAAAAGAAAGAACTGTCAAGTACCTAAAGGAACACTGAAGAAAGTGGAGTTATTCAACTATATTTCCAATATATTGAAATATGAAATATCACACATTTGCAGCTGTCCAGTTTCATGGATCTTCCGTCGTTCTGCCATCTTATCATAGCTGCATCATGCATCATGTCTAGGCAAATCCGCAGTCAAGGATCGCCACAGAGAGACCGACCACCATCAACAGTAGGTCGATCCAGGTGCTCCAATCGGCTGGCTCATTGGCATCATCCCTGGAGCCAACCGGAAGATGTGGGGTGGATTTGGAAGTTCTTGCTAAGCCAACAAGTGGTGACTTAAGGAATCTTAAGGATGTACCAGGATGTATCACAATGTATCAGGATGTATGAGGATCTATCAAGATGCAGTACAAATATGCCTATAACATACCCATCATATGGCTATCAGAGCTATCATATCCACCGTAGGTTGTGGGCGCAACGACCAAGGCACCTAGGCATCACCCAGCTGCATCACCAAGGTACAAGAGCCCGGCATCCGCCAGAAAGCCCAGGCGGAACATGGTCATCCACGCGGTCCACCAGGCAGTGAAACCAAAGGAGTAGTAGACGTGCCAGAAGCCGGCAAGAAAACCTCAGCTGGATGCTGGATTCAGCTGATTTTCGATTTCAGCCTGGTGAATCTGAATTAGCTGGCTAGCTGATTAATTGGCTCATTGATCTCATTGGGATTGGTGAAAGGGCGGATTATCTGATTGGTTACAGTAGCTGACTGGTTGGCCGATTGCTGATTTCAGCAACTTCAAAACCAGTATTGTGGTTTCGCAAATCATTTCGCTCCTGTTGTCGCGCCGACAAATCACTTTCATCACCTCACGCTTGAAAACAGCGGGCTGCTTCGGAACATATCACGTCCGTACGCGCAAGCCGTCTTGCAGTATTTCCAAACCGCGAAAGTCCAATTTTCAGCCCAAAAGAATGGTGAACGTATTCCTACTTGGTTGCTCTTGTTTTTAGATTTTTGCTCCGCAAATCCTGAATGTTGTGAGTGGATTGCTGACAGGACAAATCCAGTTCAACCTGCGCGGATTTTGGTTTTGGTCGATTGTCTAGTTTTTTTTTGGAGATCTCAATTTTTCTGTCCCTTCCATTATTTGGTATTTGTTAGTTTCCCTTGCTATCCAAAACCTTGAACGGAACCTTGGTGACCGGATTAGTTACTCTATTCGTGAGCATTTGAAAAACCTTCAGAAGATCCCAAGCGATTTCACGTGAATCAGCAGGAAACATCAGGAAACAGCGACCCGGGCACCTGTTGATTTGACGTTGCACATTTAATTTAGCTCTACGCTGTGGTTTGTTGCTCGCTGTTGCGCTCGAGAGGCCGGCAGTATTTGAATTGGGGAAAAAAATGGAAAGCTGCAAAAATGGGGCGGAGCTCATTGATGTTAATTGAGGCTCATCATCCTCTTTAGTAGGAATGGAAAAGCAACAACATTTTGCTCTTTGCACACTTGCAGAAGGCCTGAGAGTGAATCAAAAACATCTGATATCAACTGCTCTCTCGTGTCCCTGCTTTGATTGAACGAACTACTGCATGCTGGACATCCATGATATCGTCTGTGCTCACGGGATATGATTATGTTCGGTCGCTATCATTTATATGCGTCTTATAAAAGTATATTAATATGTAGATTTGCCCCCTGGGAGTCCTTGCATGTCCATGCATTTCAACCGTTTGGCTTCTACTGAAAGTTACTGTACCAAAGTCCTTTCAAAATCTTCGACCCATGTTTTCGCCATGGGACAGAAGACGACGAAGAGGAAGGGCCCAGTGGCAAATGTCGCTTTCAGGATTGGCAACATCGACTCACCAGTACTTTCGAAGCCTTTCCTCAGTGCAAAGCCTGCAAAGCCTCCAGAAACTCACAGACCCTCAGGTATGGCACGCTCTCAAAATGCCCAAGACATCCCAAGACATCCCAAGACTGCCCTTAGTCCCATGGTCTCCAACAACCAATTCTTGCAAGTTCCTGGATCTTCAATTCCCCTTTTGCGACATTTTACAATATGTTACAACCATATTGTGGACCGAATGGTTTTATCTCCCTTTCGATGACTTGCTGGGACTTGGCATTGCCGGAAGCCTTTCAACGTCTTTGTGATATACTTTCTGTCTCAAGACATTGCATACCATTACAGCCCAAGCATCAAGGTATTTAAGACTCTCAGCCACCACAGAAAACCTGTAGCCGCAAAGATGAGGCGCCACATCCTCACCGTCACGCTGGGATGGCACTGGCTGCGACGCTGCGATAGCATTGATGGCTTTTCAATCCGGGGCCCAATTGCTCTTAGTGGCAGTCCAAGAGGCTTACCCCTGCTGAAATTGTCCCAATCGCTGCTGACCACCACCAAAATGACACCTGGTCAAAGGCTATGCAACATTATGCAACTGTAGAAGCCTGACAACTGTCTGCTTGGCCCAATGACTTGTTGAGCAAATCACAGTGACACTCAAAGGCTAGTGCTGCATGCTCCGGCCATGCCCTATGGCCCTATGAAAAAGTCTGAAGCCTGTGAGGATGATACGAAGAATATCTGCCAGATTCTCGAGTGATCCTCAGGTACGACGCTCACAGGCACTTCAAAGCTATCCGCCCAGGATGACAGACATAGCCCAGGATGGCCTAGACCGGTTCACCCAACCACTAGGTCTCATCCAGTTGTCCCAACCTTCTCTGGCAAGGATCTCATGTACCGCATCAACGATCCTCAGATGTGTCGTCATAGGATCAGCAACTACGCCACGGGATTATCGGGATGATGAATCCATTGCCAAAGATGTGTTTTCTTTTGATAGTAAATCTGCATTCAACGAGCTCTTTCTCCTAGCTTGGACGTTTTTGGACCTGTACCGAAGGTATGTGACTGCAAAAACCTGAAAGACCAAAACAAGTGGTTCCACTAGTCTGACAGGACCAACGAGCGAACTTTCAACAGCTTTCACTTTCGCCGTTTTCCCCCTTTTTCATCTTGGATCATTCCGAAAGATCCATCCAGATTTTTCTGCCGCACCCGAGGTTCCGTTCAGCTGGAATCCCCAGAGTTGCAGCAGCTCCCAAATCAAGGTCCTCATGGGGGTCCCTGTTGAGTGTCTTGGGTGTATTCAAAAACTGGGTACCAATAAAGTTGAGGCCAAACAGTCAGATTAGGATCTGGAACACTGTAGTATTGCCGAATAAAATGCCTAGTTGAAAACGAATACATATTGAGAAAACCAAACTGTTGCGAAATTGCCTACAGTCATTCAAAGCAAAAACATAGGTTTCATGGAAAATAAATGAGAATTTGTTCCATGCATTTCCATTCGAAATTGGAGTGGAATCTAAATTGGTTTGAGGTTGAATTAGAAGTAGTGTGTTTGCTTCAGATTCTTGGGGGGGCACCACTATAAAGTTTGGTTTTTCAAAAGGGTTGAGATAGCAAAAGTAATTCACTTTTAAGGAGATTTGGAAAGCTAAGTCAGTATATCCACCCCAAATCCCCACAGAAAATTCAGTGATTTTGGTTTTGGTTCACGGCTACCCCTTTTATGGGTGTTTCTTTTCATTTTTGTGTTGTTTATTTGAATAAGGGGTTAATGAAGAAATCAATCAATTCAGATATTTGGGTATTTTGAAATTTCAGAGATTTCAGCGATTTCAGAAACCATAACCCAGGGAAAAAATAGGGAAAAACTAACCCGGCAAAAACACTCCAAAACAGGTTGGCGTACTTTATGGTGATGGGGGATGGCCCAAACCAGGCTGCCATGATGGCCGAGGTGCTTTGCCCAGATCAAGAACAGCAAAGTCACTATGGTGGGGAGATGCCAACTGGAGTCCTGCCACCTTGGAAGGATTTGAGGATGAAACATCAGGATTTAGACATGGGAATGAGTATCCGATTCCA